TACGGTTTCTAATAAAAGCTGTGCACTTTCCATATGTAAGATCGACTTACTTCGGCTTACATTTCGTACTTTGTACATTTGTGTTTCTCTTTTATTATATGTGTTCTAATAATAACTGGTTTGATCCCAGCTTAGTAGAATCTTATCTATATATATTCTTAATTTTTATTATCAGATTTTGTATAGTTGGTTTAGACTGAAACCTAATTCGTTTAGTTTTGTCAACTCAAGGAAGCTCGTTAAAATGAAATGAATAAATGTTTATTTTACTAATGTATAAATACTTGTGTTACCAAAAATTTACAATAAATTGTAACAGAGTAAAATCAATCATAAAATTGAGAAAAATAAAAATAGTGATGAATATTAAAATTTTATAATTTACGAATCCGATCGGCCGGTTTGGTCCAAGTCTGAGCATGTCGAATACAAATTCACTTTGTCCTGTACTTCATAAAGTCAAAGTTGCTCGCTTTCCCTATAAAAAAGCTCAAACTTTTTTGTCCATGGCTTCTTCTTGTTTCCTTGGTTCGATTGTCTTTACTTGTCCCACCAACCTCTCATCTCGACCAGCTTCTCTCTTCCCGAAGAATCTCACTTGTTGTCCTTATTCTTCTGCTGCGTCTCGTTTTGAGTCGTTGTCGATCGGAAGTAGTCGGAGAAAGGTGTCGGAGGTGATGAGTATGGCTACGACGGCGTCGGAAATGGGGAAGGAGGAGAAGAAGAGAGTGGAGATTTTTGACCTCGAGGAGAATTTGGCGGTTGATTTGGCTAAATTCACAGCTCATCTTTCCGATAAGTATTGCAAGGAGAGAGGCGCTTTCACCGTCGTTGTCTCCGGCGGCTCCCTCATCAAATCGCTCCGGTGTGTCCTAATTTTCTTAGATTTTTGGAGTTCCAGATTTGGGATTTAGGGATTGCAAAGTCGCGATTTAGGGTCTCTTTCCGTAGAATCTGCAAATTTTGATTTGACTGTGGCTTGTGGATGGATTCGAACTTTTTCTCTGTCGAATTAATTAGATTTTGCTTCATCTTCGTGGATTTTGATTGATCTCATGAATGCTACTATGTGTGTTCGATTGATAAAGCCAATTTTTTTTGTATGGACTTCAGTGTTTTGGTAAAGTAGTTGCGTGACTGGGTTTGGTTGGTTTCGCAATCTGTGATTCTCTTAAAATCTTCACTTTTTTTTTTCTGCTGTATCAAAAGGAATTTCTATGAGTTTTGGTTCTTTTTAGTTCATGAAAACTTGATCATTTAAGTATGGAGATCCACTTTCGAAGTTATGTCTGATCAAGAACGTAGCTTTTTCATATTTGACATACTGTAGTAGTTTCCTAGTAATGTCTTTTTGATTCAAATGCTTGCTCGAATTTTCAGGAAATTAGTAGAATCCCCTTACGCTGATTCGATCGATTGGTCAAGGTGGCATTTTTTCTGGGTCGACGAGAGGGTTGTTCCCAAGCATCACGATGACAGCAACTACAAACTGGCTTATGATGCTTTCTTATCCAAGGTATATAAGATTCTGTCCCTCTATTGTGTTCCTCTCACATGATCAATAGCTTGCAAACCCAGGTTTCTCTTTGTAACTTGTATCGTCATCTTTGCTTCCATCTGTTCTATTTCAATCGAATTGCTACCAAAAAAAAAAAAAAGAGGGATCAATCTAAAGTTGTTGAAATTCAGTGTGTATAGAGTGATGTTAAGAACTGGAATCAGAGAACTCTCTTGATACTGAAATTTGATTCAAACTTTTCTTTGCCTAGCGTTCCAAATTAAATGTGATCATCTGTTTGTTGATACTTTCCCTGGAACCGCAGCTGTCCACGACCTTTTAAATGATTGAAACAGAGAGATTATAACAACTTTTTCGATGAACTTATAAGAGTTAGCTAAAGCTCTTCACACGAATTGTTTTCCTTCAGGTTCCAATTCCGCCTGGAAACGTATATGCCATTAACGAATCCCTCTCTGCCGAGGCTGCAGCGGATGATTACGAGACCTGCCTCAAACATCTGGTCAAGACCAACATCCTCCGCGTATCTGAATCAACAGGATTCCCCAAATTTGATCTCATGCTTCTTGGTATGGGCCCTGATGGCCACGTGGCATCTCTATTCCCGGGACACAGTCTCTGCAACGAGAGCCAGAAATGGGTAACATTTATCACCGACTCTCCAAAACCGCCATCTGAAAGAATCACCTTCACATTCCCTGTCATCAACTCCTCTGCACATATAGCTCTAGTCGTTTGCGGTTCTGGGAAAGCCGAAGCCGTTCAAGCAGCTCTGAAGAAGACCGGGGAAGTACCTGCGGGTTCCGTTAGTGCTGAAGACGAGCTGGTTTGGTTTCTGGACAAACCAGCCTGTTCCAAGCTCTAAACCACCAAGTAAGTTTGACTTACCAATGTGACTAGTCTGGTTTGCTTTTTTTGGTTGTTTGGTTCTCTCCATTTATGTTCTGGGAAGAGACTGTTGTAATAAAAGCGTACTTGCCAAGGCAATCAAAACCAACGGTTCCTCTGATTTGGTTGGGTTGGGTAATGTAGTCAAAACTGTTTGAAACCCACGATTATCTCTCATGGTTGTTTTGAGACATTTTGACCAAGTTGATTTAGTTTGAGAGTCGAACAAAAAAAGTTATAGTTTTGTAGTGAGTGAGTGAGATATTTTACTAAATTTAAACATGCAATTATCACAGAATCTCAAAACAAGTTGCATAAAAAGAATAGTTGTTGAAATGAGATTTGACTGAGGAATTTAATGGTAATATGAAACTGTAAATGAAAAGACTTATTATAGTTGGAAATATATATGGTAGTTCAATTATTTTTTGGCTTCACATTAATCCACATATCTTAATTATTTCAAAATTCTAGAATTTGATGGTCAATGACTCAAATAAATACATGTAGATTTGTTGAATAAAGGGCCAAATAAATAAAAAAAGAAAAGTAAAAGGAGTAAATGTGTAAAAAGGAGGTTTTGTCAACGTGTAGGCGGGTGCTATAAGAAAGCAAATAAAAAAGGAGACTTCATCTTCTTACTCGGAATTGACTTCCCTTTTAACAGATTCGATTCTAGAGAGAGAGAGAGAAGAATAAAGATCCCAACTTTCTAGAGAGAGAAGCGGAAGCTACTTGAACGGCAAAGACGGAGGAGGAGGAGGTCGTACCGTATGGTATTCGCCGGAGTTTTGGGTAAAATCGACGGTTGCCGGAGATTATTCCCATTTCTGGATTATGCTTTAAATTGGGGAGGAGGAAGAGAAGACTCTGGATTCGAGTTTCTGGGTTTTTAGATGAAAGCTCTTCGAAGAATCCAAACGAGGTCTTCGTTTCCGAATTCGCCA